CGTGGAGTACCGAAACGAAGAAAATATTGAGAAAAAAGGGATGTAGAAGATAGGTAAAAAAATCGATAGTAGAATGGATCGGTGCTATATAAAGTATAGACGCGTTTTTACATCCACAGCTGTGTATTTATACACTGGAAACTATATTGGCCGAACAAAACTAGGTCCGCTTGTATAAAATAATATATMTAYGGRCTTCGGAAATTATATTATATATCAGTATATCACCCTCTGTGGGTGATGCCCCGGCCCAATAATGCTTATTATAGTAATATTATACAGCCAGACTCGACGATGCGTCGTCGTCGTGATWATTATTTTTCTGTGTGGCGACCTAGAGCGCGCGGGGACCACGAAGACTCTTCTTATATAGCTTACAGTCGTATATGAGCACGCTTTATATATATATATATATATGTGCTGCACCACCGGCGTGGCTGGTCCACTGGATAATAATAACAAAAACAAGACGACAGGTAGACGTATATWCATCTATGTATATGCACATAATATATACATTATATACGTATTATAGCGGTTCAAGTGTGCAACCACCACACCCATAATGATTGTACGCTGCTGCCGCCGTTGAGTCGTTCTCGGTAAACATATTTTCTCCCTTCTTCAATATAAAACCCCCTTATTATTATTACTTCATTCAAATATCGCCGCCACTGTCGTCATCGTCGTTTTCGACAAAAACCTAACAATATGTACATTAATATGACCGAGCACATTCCAAAAAGTCCTACTCCTCGTCCACTTCCTCCACCTTTCTCGAGGCTACTCTCTTCATCCACTGCTGCTGTATTTGTATATAGCTATAACCTATAAATACCTATCTATACCTATTTAAAATCATTTTCAGCACTATCGCGGTGGCAAACCTCTGCAGTTATTGTTGTTTGTACGACATCAAACATATAATAATATACCGGTGATATATATATATATATCAGAGTGGTCACGAAGGTTAAAGGGAAATAATATTCTACATAAATATTTGGTAAATGTATATTGAGAAGTAAAATCTACAAGATATTTTCAATCGCGATAATTCCGTTTTTTCTGGAATTTTATTGTGAGGAAATTTAGTACACCTCTATTTATGCACTCCCTTAATATCCGAATCTATCGTTTTTGGCGAACTGGCTCCTTAAAATATCATATTTACTTCGAGATCCCTGTATAATGTTTGAGGGAGATAGATAGATATAAAGAGAGAGAGAGAGAGAGAGAGAGAGAGAGAGAGAGAGAGAGAGAGAGAGAGAAAGAGAAAGAGTGAATGAGAAAAAAATTGATAGGCTGAACCATGTTGAATCGATTACCATCGGTGTGTCGTTATATATAATATATATCCACTAGCAATGCTGCAGGATGAGACGATCGCCGCCGGCCTGACTGACAACACTATTAAAAAAAAAGGGTTGTATTCTACATATTATTATAGTGTATATACTGTGAAGAGAAGTCGACCTTGAATGGGTGTCTTTAGTCGTCAATCGAAAACGGGCCGGATCGAGATGAATGGAACGGGTGGKTTAGTGCGCATGCGCTAGTCACGTTGCTCATTATATTAAACGCGTCTAATATTATAAATAAGGTAAGACGTTGCCGTAGGTCTTGAGCTGTTGCAGGAGATCCCTCGTCCAAACGCCGGACGACACTCGACGACACCCCAGGGGCGCCAGCGACAGCGGTCGTGGTATATTTTTTTGATATAACATTATATTATATGCGTTTGCTGAGGACAAAAGCGAAGGTCTTTGAACATAACATAATACCTATGTAATAGCTGCAGCGTATCCGCATCGATTTTGTCACACAAAAGTCGTCACCTGTCCCTGTTGCGGTGTATCCATATGGGTAGGGGTAAATCATCGTATTCCCGTTTTATAAATATGCGCGTGTCTAATAAATTTATAATAATGTTATGCATATATTGCCATGAAAATCGATGTCGATGAGACTCTCTCTCTCTCTCTCTCCGCCTCGTCCATTATTCCATTATAAGATTCCGAATGTACTTATAATCTATTATTATGTATGTGTGTGTGGAGGCGTAGCCTGTCGATCATCGAATGACGCCGCATGCAGCCAGTGTGCGTTGTACGCGCCGCGTATACTTATCATTTATTAATCGGCTCCTGAAGTCCTACACGGCGCGTCCGGCGCGTGAATTATAATGTAAATCGCGTTTAATAATAATAATAATAATAACACGTATATGGGTATACATAATATATTATAATAGCCGCAGCAGCGGTGTGCAGATTGTTGCGCGCTATATACATAAGAGCGCGTGGACAGCCACACRTTAACGAGCGACGCGCGGACGCACCCGAACGTGTGCGACTTGGATTCCTTTTATTGTCTTTTATTATCAATGAGCCCATACACATTAAATATATCTACGTATTATAAAATACGCTATTATTTTTCTCTGCCGTTGGTTTTATAACGCTTGCCGAGGCGGCAGAAGAAACGAGAATACTACTTATATATATATATATATATATATATATATATATGTATAATAATGTATGTGCTCGCGAGTACCGAATAATAACAATAATATTATAATTTAATATGCGCGTTGTTTTTTCATTTCTCGTCAATCGTGTTCGTGTGATGATAATATGCGGGACGACGGAAACGGTGTAGGCACACATACACACACGCGCGATATAATGTATATTAGAGGTATACATACATCATATTTTATACGAGATAATTTTAATAGTAGTAAGTAATAGAATATATGTATAGAGAGAGAAGATCGGTTGGCCGCCGGTTGTAGATATATATCATATACATAATATATAATACGTCTGTATACAAAATCGAACGGCCCCGTGGTGTTTACACGGCGGTGGCGGTGACTAGCTATTAAAGGGAAAAAAAATCTTATAGGCGTCGGACAATGTTATCTAAAATATACATCTTTACATTTGGCTCGGGGGCCAGGTTTCTTCTTCTCCCTTTTTTTCTTCTTCTATAATTTCGATCTATCACTTATAGATCTTTCGTAATAGAACATTATTACGCGGTTTGTGATCAATCGTCGATGGGTTCCAATAATAATAATAGTTAACTCCTGCTCCTCCTATATACTCCTCCCCCTTCATCCACCATCACAGACTCTTCACCACAACCGCGACGTTCATTAGCGAGGAATGCCAAAATATTACGAGAGTTTTTGGAAACGATTTTCGAAATCAATTGTGTTTATCTTTTGTGTACACAGTTCCCTACATATATTACATGTATAAACCTGCATAATAATAATATACAAACGCGATGATTTTGTTTATCAACCAATAAAAATTGAAACTCTCAACTATAGATATATTATATATTATGATATTTTTTTTCAAACCGTAAAATAAGGGGTAACCCCTTGTACAATATAAAATATATATTGAATCAGTGATTTAACGAACCTTTTATTTTTAATGACCCCAATTTATTTAGTGATCGCCTTGGCCGTCTACTGATTTAGTAATTTATGTGCCTGAATGTACGTTTTTCTGTACACTCAGTTTTCTTCGAAACGGCATAAATTAAACTATAACATAATAACGAACACAAAGCCCACGATATATTATTTAGATAAACAATGTGTGTAGTTCGACGTTGAAGAATATCACACTAAATAACATTTATTAATTATATATTTTTTTTTTCGTATGTAACGTATGATTACAATCGTTTTCGTATATGAATGAAATTATTGTTTTCACCGTGGTGGTGTCCATTGTCCGAACAAGAACTAAAATATGTATAGTAATATCATCACGTCACACGTTGATCATAATAATAATCATTATTGTAGCTGGTGAAAAAAAGAAACCCGTCAAAAATGTAGGCACTTGAAAGCACTTAAATTGTCTATACGGAACGCCGTGCAAGTATAATATAGTAGGTATACCCGGCGCACTGCGTCTGTATGTTATATCATATAATATTATAATATTATCTTCGCGGGAAACGTGTAACACAAAAGAACCACACAACGAAACCTCCTCCGCGACGGTCATCGTAACATTGTATTTCAAAACGTAATTTTATTTATTATTTCCTGGTTCGGTCTTGAATCGAATTCGTTGTCCCGAGTCCCGACTCTCGAGAAGAACATACATATAATATACACTCACGCGGACTGCATCCGTCGGTAGGTAAGTGATGTCGGGTAGGTCTCGAGAGGGTCTCTTCTCGCGTATATATTTTATTGTACATCATTTCACACGGAGCACGCCAACCGGTGTTAGAGGGTGGTAGTGATTTTTGAATTCTCGGTATACATTTGAATAGAAGGGACGTAAAAAATGTGAGAAAATCGTTTAACATTATTTTATTTATGCGACGTTATACAAGTGTTCGGTTTGAAACAAATTTGACTTTTGTTACGTCGATATTCCATCCCTCCTCCCTATACCACCGTCATCCGCGATATTGCATGGTTATCACTTATCTGTACCGYGAGTGTTGTTTTTGTTGTGTTACAGACGACCGTAATTTTCTYTCTTACCACGGACGGTAATGAGTTTAATGTACATTAATWATAATTGGGCTTAAAGAAAAAAAAAAATGTTATTAAACGATGTGTGATTTATGTTAAACCCGGCGGGGTGTGCTGTAGTACAGTGTAGTCGAATGAACGTATATATTATTATTATAAACGTTTCCCTGCATACCACCGACGCCACTGGTTGGCAACCGCCTGTTGCTGCAGCGTTAACGACGACCGCGCGTGATGACGATGGGAACTCTGTAGGTCGTAATTCGTTGTAGTCGTCAAATGTCTGGTTAATTGATTATTATTACTACTACTATTATTATTATAATAATTATTAATAATATAAATAACTATGTGTGTTTGTATGTATATAAACATTGTATACGAGCTATATATAAGACCGTCGTTTGGTTTACAGATGTGGGAGCTGCTCCTGTTGAGCATCCTGAAATGGGACGTGTCCGCGATCACAGCTCATGACTTCCTATGGTATATACTTAAAAGACTGAACATGGACACGGCCAAGCCGTTCGTGGACATTGTTATCAAACACTGCGGCACATTCATCGGCATGTGCGCCAGAGGTAAGTTCAATCAATAATATACTTATTTAAAAAAATTTCTGAATATTGTATAGGTACGTGGTTCGTCACGATATTATATCGTTATTCATATTCTGTGCACAGTGGTGTACCCGGGATTTCTAAAAGGGGATGAGAGTATAATAAAATATATAACATAACAAATTTGTCGTTATATGCTTTGTGTATTATTCATTATATAGGGTAACCTAATTAATGACAATATTTATAACGTTGCAATTTAAAACTAATTTCCACAAATCATTTTAAATCATGATTTTCAAGATCATTCAATTGATTTGTCATCTTGATTCTAAATCCAGTCCTGTAATTATTATTGAAATCTTAAGGTTAAAAAATCGTCAAGTATAGGTAACTGATTTTATTTATTCATACATAATAATAGATGTCTATAGGTAATAATTAAAAATAAAATATTATGTAGCTTTTGTGAAAGTTCAAATACTTGACATAGTCATACTGTCATACATATTAATCTATGTAATGCATCTAATTTCGTGTTTGAGAATTTATGTTTCTTATTTTTTGACTTTTGTTGTAACTTTATTCGTATCTGTTTTTTCTATTTTTGTGGACACGTTAAGCATATTATAGTCGATTTTTTAGGGATTTGCATATTAGGTTGTAACAATTTGGTTTTGTGTGAGAAGTGAGAACTTACATAATCTGGGCCACATAAGTGTACTGCAGAGTATCCATAATATGCTGGCTGTATTGTTTATCTTCTCCCCAACCTGTGTGTCCGTGATATATTTTGTTGGATTGCGATTTTTTTATTTTTTTGTTACCTTAATGAGACTAACGTTTCAAGTGAATTATAAATATTTAGAAGGAAATAATAATTATATTATGTTTATTTATACAAAGGCACGGACGAGTATTATACATATGTATGTATAATTATATATACGTTTATATTCGATTATCTCGACCTTATTTGGTTTCTCGTATTGCGTCATGATGCGGAGGGACCGGTTTACGATGAACGGTGGTAGTTTAAACCGTGCTTGCATTCTATTATCTCTGATGAATCTCGGATTTGAGTGTGTGGTGTGTATGTGTGTATAATGAGAGTCGAATAAAAACGTAGACGCGTAACTCTGCAAAAGGGTTTCGGATTTGTAACCAAGGATTTCCTTGACGATAAACAACTAATGTAAATTCAAATATTGTATAAGCGTGTGACGACTGCCGCTCCACGCCACGATAAGTATAGTAACATGGTAATTAATAAATAAAACGACAAAATCGAAGACCTTCTTCGTTGCTGCATATTATAATTATATATGCACCAAAATTTAACAAAGAATAATTATAATATTTTTACCACAAAGTCAATGGAGCGGTGGTCGTACAAAGGGAATCGTGGGACGGCGTGTGAACGTGTCGAGTTGTGTTTCGTCGCTTTCGAGATCCATCCCCCGCCGTAAGCTAGTCGGCATATAGTTATATTACTAGGTTTTTATTATTAATTATTTACGTGTTTAATAATAAGTTATTATTAATAACTGTAAACGCTGCTCTAACTGCATAATAATAATATAACTAACGATATCATAATAGATATCAGAGCATATAATATATACCTACGATAAACACTATTTTTCTCTTCAATTTTTTCGATGCCGCGCACATTTACGATGATTAAAATATCTATATATAATATAATATATATTCATGCAAAGCCGACATACATTATCATACTACGATTTGAGCGTGCGAACCAAGTGTTCGGCCTTTTGTCTTTTGGCGTATTATAATATTAGGTATATTATTATCATCAGACAACGATGATGTCCGCGTCGTCCGGTGGACCGTATTTTCAATATTTATCCTCGGCCGGGGATTTGCACGGTCGATAGCGCACGTCGTAATAAAAACGATAAATAATGATGATAAAAAAAAATATATATATTTATATCGCAGGCGGCTGATTCTTGCTGCACGACGACATTTATCTGTGTATAGAGGTGGTCCCAACGTACACATTTTATTATTATTATTATATAGCTGATATATTATTATGTACGCCGCCGCGCTGCCGTTCGCATCGTCCGAAACGCGTCTCATTGTCTCGCACGTCTATAATATGCGAGCTCTTCGTGGAAAACGCCGGGCAACCAATCTCAAAGGAAACGTGCCGAATGAAATATGGTTTTCTTTTTTATGATAATGATTATTCTTAATAAAAATAATAATAGTGACGATTATTACTATGGTCATTATTGTTTCCATCACCTCCGCCATACCCTCCGAGTATATTATGTATCATATTCGCGCCATCTAAACAATATCAAACTTATATTATATTCCCACCGATTAGGTAGCCGACGTCGCCGATTGCAATTTGTTACACATTTTGCGAACGTTTTGATGCTTATTGCTGCCACTGCAGCAGTGCCACTTTATGTATAAATCTGCAGAGTATGTGTGTGTGCGTGCGTGTTTTAATATATATTATGTATATATAGTGGACTGCTTTGTCGTCGTCATAATATTAAACGTTAAAAAAAAAATTTATTCATTTTACATACCTAGCCAACGTCAAAAAAGTGTCAATAAAACATTTTCAAGACAATAATAAACGGCGATGCGGTAGGCGTTATATTATAATACGTATGTGACGCTTACKCACACGCAAGCACACACGGACAAAACAATTTATCGTTGACACAACGCACTTAATGTTCATTCTGAACGTTTATGAACACTTTAAGCGCACTTAAAATAATTGTATCGGCGATGGTTATGACGTAAGTTGTGTTTTAATATATCTTGGTTTTGATTTTATGTCCGACACCCCGCGCCAGGCAGGGCTGTAAATAATAATTTCAACGGTCGTCCTGCGCCGTTGCTACATATAATATTTTGTACTGCGTATAATTATACTTATGATAATATACGGTCATGTCTCAAGAAAATGTGTATAACACGTGAAAAATGTTAATTTCGAAAATATAATATTATTCAAGCCTACCATAAAACCGTGTATAATGTGTATAGTATATACATACGTCATGGCAGCGTCGGCGGCGGCATAATATATTGTGGTTTGTGTTTACGTTATTAACCGGAAACTACTTGTGCGACCGACAATTCTTCGGGTGGTTTGTTTTTCATTATCTGTTCGCAAGGTCAAACGACATAGATATAAACAAAAATAAGGGTTGTGTAGGTCTTGTTATATAATTATTTTTTCTTCTTCGTTGGGAACCAGTTATAGCTGCTGTATAGTAGACGCGTATCGCGTATTATATATAGGCTGCATGCTGCAGTGGCGACGACGATTACTGCAGGGTCAACCGACGTGTATATGTGTGTGTAAATGTCGTAACATATACAAAAAATATTCATCCCTCGGTGTTACTGCCGTTCATCATTAATGCTTACAATAATGAATGGATGATGTGTATAAGCCCCATAACATTTCAATGAGAATGCCTTGAAATTTTTTTATGGTTTTTAAAAACAGTATTGGATTGATCTAGAGAGAGAGAGAGWGAGAGAGAGAGACAGAAACAGAGAGAGGCAGATAATGTAGCGCAGCGATGTTATATATACGTTTCTTATGTTATACGAACAGGCGCTTTCGATTAGCGGGAGGGTGAAAAAAAACAAACCCGAGTTACTGCGATATATAATATTCAACTTTTTTCTGTTTTTTTTTTTCTTAAATAGTTTTTTGTTTCAATTTGTTTTTTTAAATATATATATATTATTTATAATATATATACATACAATACGGTCTACGATGTCTTTCTCTACTCGTACATGTGTTGCTGCACCGTACATACAACGGTTGTGTGTGTATGCAATATGCATTGTACATAATATACAACGAGTCATCTTGGGAATATCTTTGCCCGGCCAACATGTGTGCTCATTGCACGGTTTTATGTGATATTGTGTCGTCGTATGTCATATCAGCGCGTTGCGGCTGCAGCAATAACGTACGTCCGTGGGGCCTAGTGAAGAACCGTAAACTCGAGCCGAATTTACTCGTCGACGCCGACGCTCATGGCCCGTCGATTATTTTTTCTTCTGTTCGCCACGTTAAAATATATATATATATAATAATAATAATGACATTTTTGTTAACTGGTTGAGGTCCCATTTCTCCGACTTACATTTTAATGCATATGTGCATTTCATATTATATAGATCATCATGTGCACTGTATCGTTTTAACGTTTCCAATCTATTATCAGGCATGAGTTTGCAAACCAGTTTTTTGGTTTATATGGAATCACCGCCATGTGGATAAAAACGAGTACAGTAAATTTATATAATAAAATCGATTTTTAACGTTAGCTGCTTAAAAGATAGATCCATTTCGATCCGACTACAACGTATTCGAGTCGTGTGAATAGTAGCAGCGTAAATTAAATGATTATCGTCTCCGGTTCCTGTCTGGTCAATGAAAAAATTAATATTTAATTCTAAGATMATACATAATATTTTAATTCAAAAGTGATGGTTATAGTTTTCACATAACGTTTTATTATTATTATTTTTTTTCCGTAAACGTTTTCGAATAACAAATTAACATGTATATACTTCCATAAATATTATTATGTCTATTTGGTAATCACTTACCGGCTGTAATAAGCTGTATATACCAGCAACGATTACGATTATATTTTATACTTACGCGCACCGGTTTTTTACTTTGACGTCGACGTTTTTTTTTTTTTATATTTTCAACATATTATTATTATACTATTTTACACTACATAGACTCCTCACATTTCTATCGACAATTTAGATTTTAGAACATCATCTTAGTCGTGTGCATCGATCTGTTGTTGTCGCTTACGACGTGGTTTTTCGGTAGCTGTGCGTGCGTTTGATTCTCGCTAATTATTATTATTACTATTATACACCGCAGAGCCGCCGACCACTAAATATTACACTCACGCGCGGGTTATCGGGGTAGCGGTAGACGCGTTTTTTTTTTTTTTTGTCACACGTTGTCGTTATCT